CATCGAGAGGTGTAGGCTCATGAATGAGGGTTTAGGGTTGAGGGTTTAGGGTTTAGGGTTGAGGGTTTAGGGTTTAGGGTTTAGTGTTAGCTGCAAGAAAGGCGCCCCCGGAAGCCTACACCTAAACCATCAGAGCCCTAATTCGAAACATCAGGCGAAAGGGTCTCCCAATATGTTCTTGCAGTAGAGCCGGCCACCAAGACCGGCAGTCTAAATATTCAGGCGTCCAGCGTAAGACCCAAGACCCTACGTGTTGGGTCCCAAAGCCCAGGGCCCTGAACCTCAAATCCAAAACCCTCAACTCTAAACCCTAAGCCCTCACCTTAGCAAAGACTACCGTAAATCCTAGGCCCAAAATCGTGTATATATATATATATATATAGACACGAGGGACTGCTTGATATTCGGCATGCGCAGGATCTTCCTGGGCATGGTAAGCGTCTTTGCTTCGGCTGCTTGGGATTTTTGGGTCCTTTCTAACGCTGGCGTGAAGGGCTCCTTGAAGGGTTCTTCAAGGGTGCTGTGAGTGTTTTGGGTTTTTGGGGTTCGTCAAGCTACAGGCGACAAAGGCTGTTGGGGACTGTTGTTGATTATGGTCCCGTTGAGAAACCATCGGTGGGTACAACAGCTATGACTGGACCACCCGGAACCCTAAACCCTGAGGTTTTGGAATCCTGAATCAAAAATCCCGCAGTCCCAGGGCTGCAAATATGTGGGTAGTTCTTTAACTTAGGGTCCTTTGTTTAAGTCTCACAAATAGTACGGCACAAAGAGGGCCCTCAAAGGAACCGTAATTTAGAGAACTCCCCAAGTACGTGAATCGACATGTGAGCCTATATCCATATAACTTGTATGTATCTATACGTGCAGATTCGCTTGCATATGCACATGCACGTCCAAGTTATGAAGGGCGACTAGCTCGGAGTGAGGTCTTGCCAAAGTCAGAGCCAAGAACACCCCTAAATCTTATAGTAACCCTTGACTTACAGCAACCTTACAGTAGCCATTGTAGGAGCCCATATACTATGCCTTTCGAGGATCATCTATGCCGTGTTCTGGTCGACTGCCACAGGCCGGCATGCGAAGAAAGAGGGAAGGCACCTTGAGAATTAACAGGATCATCGTGGCGATTTGGCAGCTCTTGTAAGGATCAGGCATGGGTTTGGGAGTTAGTCCGAGGGCTTTGTGGCAGCAGGTTCAATGTTGCGTGGCTCTTTTGGGGGTTTCGCAGTGTTATGCAACCTGGACTTTGGGCCCCCCTCGAAACCCTAAAGCCCCAAAGCATGAGGACTTGAACCCAAAACCTACACCCTAAACCCTAAACCCTAAACCCTAAACCCTAAACCCTAAACCCTAAACCCTAAACCCTAAACCCTTATGAAACCCTCAGCCCCGCCGGCCCCGCCTTCCAGGCGCTGCGAAGCCCAAAGCCTGATCCCCTTTCAGGCTCCTAGGCAAGGCTCCCTTAGTCTAGGAGATTCTCAGGTGGGTAGTTACGGTTATAGGAGCCTTATTGAAGCCCTATGTACCCTAAACCCTAAGCCCTAAACCCTAAACCCTAAACCCTAAACCCCTAAACTCTAAACCCTAAACCCTAAACCCTAAACCCTAAACTCCCCACCTGTAGTTTCCTTTAACCTTAGAGGAAGTCTCAAAGGCTCCATTCCGCTGAGCCCTCGGCGGGTCAACTTTGGCTGTGGCCTGGTCTACTCCTGCGTCCTGGGCTGCGTGCTCCTCGGCGCTTGAAAGTGCCAGGACTCTGGGCTTCCCCGCTTTTAGGGATTAGGGTTTTAGGGTTTAGGGTTTAGGGCCTCCTTCAAGGATTCCTTCAACGGTTCCTCTAAGGGTATCATGCCAAGGATCCCTTTGTACTTCAAGGTATATTCCTCAATTCACAAGTTTTGGAGTCTCGGTAAAATCCTATGAGCCGCCCAAAAAGCACGTTCCAGGAGCCTCTTTCACAAGTTCCCCCAGCCTTGAAGCTTCGAAGGTTCTTCAGCCAATGGCAGGAGAGAGAGGACTTCCTGGCCCGTCGCGAAGCTCTTCTTCATACAGGGTGTTAGGGGTTAGGGCCTAGGGTTTAGTTTAGTGGTGGTTAAGGGTTCAAAGGGTTTAGGGGTTCCTAGACCCAAAACCCTGGGCTTGTATAGCCACTTCGGCTTTTGCTGGATTGAGTCATGTCGTCGCTCTTTGGAATTTTGGTTTCTTGTTGTAGGATCTGCGCAAGCCCTGTACTGCTTACCCACCCAAAGACAAAAGTTCATGCAGGGGTTTCCACAAGTTCTATGCAGGGCCATTTCTCCTTTTTGATTCTTGGGGCGTTGGGCTTAGGGCTGGATGCGGGCTTTTTGGCTTGTGGGGTTTGGGGGCTTTGGGACCCCCGTTTCCTTCGTGCAATGTCCGACACCCTCTGCACAGAGCTGGGGATCCTCCACAGGTTTGTAGCTGCGGCTTCGGGTTTGGGGATGTTCAGGGCCTTGGGCTTAGGGCTTCGGGCTCAGAGCCTGGGGAAGTCATCCTGGACTGTTCTTTGCCTGCTTTTGAAGCTGACAAGACTTCGGAGAATTGGAGCAAGAACGGGTGCAGGGCGTCACTGGTGGGTTTAGGGTTTATGACCGTCACACGTACCGACACCCTACTGAGGAGCTGCTGATCAAAGCCCAGACCATCCTGGCTATCGTCTATCCTCACCTGGGATTTGCATCCTTCTTCTCGGCGTCTCGGTTCAAAAAGGTCATCTTGAAACATCACTACAAGGGCAATCACATACTGCGTGTCTGGGGTTTAGTTTTTTGTTTTGATTTTAGGGTTTAGGAGTTGGGGGTTTAGGATTTAGGTTGTTGTTCAGGGTTTGGCCCAAAGCCGGGTTGCCGTAAGGGTTTTCTGAAAGTCCCCTGAGTGTTACTACCGGGGTTGGTGCAAGGACTGCTAGTGTTACTGCGAGGAAACTGTTGGGGTCACATCCTTGTCCCAAATCTGGTGTTCCTTTACTCTAGTATGCCACAAAATCTGAACTAATGATTCAGAAAGACCCCGATAACAAGACGTCGCAATGCCCACTGCAATCTTTGTAAACCTGCTCTGATCATCATCATTTCTCCGATGGAAAAGACCCTGTAAAACCCTTTGCAAGTTATATATATATACACATAAAATACCGTAACCTATTTATATAAAAGAAGTATATAAACCCCATGTTAGGTGTGTTTCTTCTCGGGCTATGCCTGGACCACCTGGCGGGTTTGCGGCAGCGAGGCAATTGCTGGGAAAGGAGCTGAATTCACACCTTAGGGTTTAGGTTTTAGAGCACAGTGCTACTCCAGAGAGTGGGGAGGGAGAAAGCTTCGAGACGGCGGGGCTGCCGACCTGGAGCCGCGATCCCAAGCGCACGTTGCTCGCTGCTTTGTGTGGCAATGTGGCCCATGAGGCTAGACAGTACATTATAGTTCAATGGAATTGCGCAGTATAGTATGGAAAAGTACCGGGGGCTTGAGGTTTTCCGTGCAACCCCCCATCCTTTCGCACCACATCTGCACTCAGATGAAGTTTTGCCTGCTGAAAATACGCGGCCGGGCATTTGCCGACCCAAAAGGTTCCGGAAAACAGTATTGTCCTGATTATGGACATTGCTGCTGTCATGACTACCAATGCAGAGTCAGTGCTGCTTCTTGAATTTCAGGACGTGAGACACCCTAAGCCCGACTTTGAAGGCTCAAATTGACCGTGAGGCTCACAGTCACAAGAGGGTTCTACTGACGTTAAATACGGGAACCTCCATGGTGAAGAGAACGAGACAAGCATACCACAGGGGCCCTTTCAAAGGGGCCTTGAAAACAGATCCAATCCCTGAATACCCATGGCTTGCCGCGATTCTTTTCCAAACCGTAAACCCTAAGCCCTAAACCCTAAGCCCTAAGCCCTAAGCCCTAAACTGGTGAATTTCCGAAGCCCGAAGGCGCTGACCTTCTGGTTCTTTCTGCACCTGTCCTACCAGGCCGGGGGATGAGGTCTTTGAAGTCTTTTGGCTCATCGAGCTCTGCCTTTCTGCTTGGCTTGGAGGGATCCAGGAGTAGACTGTACTTGGAGGGTCGGGAGACTTAGTAATAAGTAGACTTATAAGTACCCTAGAAGGGACCCTAATTGGGGTTATAGTACTTATAAGTCTAGAAAATAGCCATTTACTAAGTCCCCCGACCCTCCAAGTAGGTTTTTAGGTGGGGATAGACGACAGGATATGTTCACCATGGCTAAATCTACCCGCCCTACCAAGGACGTCAAGATGCTGCATCTGTCCCTTAAGAACTCTGTATAGCACCTTACAGAATCCTTGAAGCCCTTGTAATATTTACGAAATGTGCTGGTCCCGGCCCTGAGCCACCCCCAGATCCCAAAGAAAAAACTCTCCTAATGCCCCCAAGAGGTTGTCATGGCAGTCCTCTTCGCGATTATCACCGAGACAACACATCGCGAGCGAATCCTGGCCTTCGTGAACTCGCAAGACGCGGACTCGCTGGTGTCCCTTGCCTTCGGCGATTTGGGTAGCGAGAAAGCCCAGTTTCCTCTCACAGGTTTTGATAAGGCGATTAACGGATTTATGGCCCCCAAATAAGGAAAGTGTATATTGTAAAAAAAAACGTCGAGAGAAAAACCCCTCCCGCAGTTGCAGGTCAGCCTTCCGCCAGATGCTGAAGCTGGGCCGTACTTGGAAAGAAGGGGCCAGGGGTTTGGGGTTTGGGTTTAGGTTTTAGGTTAGGGTTACAGAGGTCAAGCAGTCCGATCGCTCCAAGTGGCATCACGCCATACGGCGAAGCACCAGCCACAAACTTCGGCGGGGCCCTAAAGCTTCAAGACCAATCCCTGAGCAAACCCGCAACCCTAGACCCTAAACCCTATACTCTAAACCCCTAAACCCTAACCCCTAAGATGTACTGGAGCCCAAACCCAGCCATGCTGAGTCTTTTCAAACGCAAGGAAGGGTGTCTGTGACGGTGACCTGCTGCTGGATGGTGGCCTCAAAATCTGCGGAGGTTCAGGCCAGACAAGAAAAAACAGAGATGGGAAATTTCCTTGTGACTTGCGGGGTACCCGCGCTCGTACTTATAATGGGAACGACGGAGTCCTTTGGGCATCGAGAAGGGCCCTGAATTTCGGGAACTCTACCAAAGCCCTGAAGCTTCAACCCAAATTCCCAGAGCCTAGTGTAAAGCGCATATCCCGGAACTTTCAACAACTCCAAGCTATTGGATGCTGCAGGGAGTACTTTCGACCTTCAAGATGGTTCCAAAACAAGGATCCAAGCCTCTGACACACAACAGCCTGAACCACGAGCCGTCAAGTCAAATCCTACATCCTGAGGCGGTAACCCCCGAAAGCCCCGAAAGCCCGATAACCCTGAGCCCCAACAGCCACCAAAGTCTCGAGCCCAAACAGTGAACCCCTACACCCCAGAAACCTCGCTACGCCCCAGAGAGATTCGAGGCGATTTCCGGCCAAGGTTTTGAGTTTAGGGTTGAAGGTTTGGGATTCCTGAGACCGCGGACCAGTAACCCTTAAACCCCAAGCCGAAGCCCACCCATAAACGCGAAACTAGACTCTAAAACCCAAGCCTTCCCCCCTTCTGAAAAAAGAAAGCCTACGACCACAGAACCCGTTTAGGGTTTAGGGTTTGGGGACACTAAACCCTAAACGTCGGACGCCCCCCCAAGACCCAGGATGCCTCAAGAGGCTGCTCGAGATGCCTGAGGCGCTTTGGAGCTTTAGGGCTTTAGGGCTTTTAGGGCTTACTACTACTACTACTACTACTACTACTACTACTACTCCTGCTACTCCCACGCCTACTCCCACTACTCACGCTCCGACTCCTACTCCGTCCTAGCCCTACCTTTACCCCAACCCCTCCTACTCCTACCCCTACTCCTACTCCTCCTCCTGCTCCTGCTCCTTCTGCTGCTGCTTCTACTGCTACTAGTACTGCTGCTGCTGCTGCTCCTGCTACTGCTACTGCTTGCTACAGCTATTGCTACGCCGACGACGAGGAGGAGTTTTTTTAAGTTTGAAGCTTCCGTGCTCCAAGCTTCAGCCGTCGCCCCATCCCGCCGAAGAAACCCAATACCCAAAGCTGCTCGGATACAGGACGTGACTGGCCGTGCCTTTGCGGACCTCATTGTGGAGAACAAGGAGGACATCAAGACCTTCGACGAGTTTGTCAGAAATTCGTCGCAGGCGATGCCGAACTTGCAGGTGTAATTGAGATCTGCGTCATGCTACTTCGCACCCTTTTTCCAATGCATGCGACCCTAAACCTAACCTTCATCCCATACCCTACAGAGTACGAGTTTACGACCATGATCTCTAGGTCACCGGACCCTCCCCGAGCCAGGGCTGGCCCCCCCAGACTCTCCAACGTCCCATACTTAAGGATCCACGGCTTACGGTTAAGGTTTAGGGTTTAGGTTTTAGGGTTTAGTTTAGGGTTTAGGGTTTAGGGCTTCAAGAGAAGCTCCCACATCCCTTCCTCCGGGATTCTGGACTCAAGGAAATCCTATAATCATGTGAGGACTTATGGCTCAGATCTCAGGGGCCTGGAGCATGAGTGACATGATTCCGCAGAGCTCTGCTATGCAGTTGCCTGTGTAGAAAATCTGTTGTGTGTATCCCCGTCTAGTTTTCCTGTATTGTGTAGTGGACCCCTGTCTGTAAAAGCCTTCATATTTCAGGGTCTGCACCACCCGGTTTCTTCAACTGTAACTGTGAACAACGGAGTTTCTGGGAACTCGCGAGGCAGCGCGGAACGAAGAGACTGCGCCTCAATGTCTGAGAGTGTCCTTGAATCTCGGAAGAACGGAGAGTTTAGGGTTCTTTTTAAGGGTTCCCAGGAATGTTTTTTGGGCTTGTACTAGGGATTTGGCGTTCAGGGTTTAGGGTTTGGGGATGTCATGTACGGAAACAGTCCTACCTCCTGACTAGCCTGGGGACAGGTATGTCGCCTGAACGGCTGCCACGTACCACAAGCCCCTAAACCCCAAACTTTTCATTTCTCGTCTCGTCAGTAACCGGTTTCTTATGACTGTCGCTCTAAACCCTAAACCCTAAACGATGAGCCCTCTTTCTGAACCCTGAACCCCTAAACCCCTAAACCCCTAAACCCTAAACCCTAAACCCTTGTCAATGCGAGGAAGGGTGCAAGGCGTCGGGTGAATGTGGATGTCTTCCATGTGGCCTTGCCCAAGGCAGAGCTGGGGAGTGGGGTGGTTTAGAGGGTTTACAGGGGTTCATAGGGGTTCATAGGGGTTATAGGGCTTAAAGGGTTTATGAGGGTTTATAGGGGTTTAGACGAAGCTTTCGGGAGTTTAAGGGTTTTCAGAGATCTCTAAGGGTGTTTGGGGCTGCTTCGGGGTTGCCCCGGGGGGGGGTTCCTAAGGCGGTTTAGTCCATTTCCGTTCTTCCGGGAGGGTCCCCGGTTTCGGGGAGGTTGTGGAGGGGTTTGTAGGGGCTCAAGCTTTTTGGTGAGGGTCCCCAAGACTCCTGAGGAAGGGTCTGGAGTCTATCTTTGGGTTCCGGTTTGGTATTTTGGCATTCGTCCTATGTGTTCTGAAGAGCCTGTGGCTCCGTAGGTTTTAGGTTCTTGAGTTTGCGGCTGGCACTTCAAGATTCGCGTTTTTTAGGGTAGGGTTGTACAGCTGTTTGGTTCAGGGTCTACTGTCTTTAGAGTCTACTGCTTCAGGGGTTAGGGTAGCTGCGTATCACCCTAACTAAGGAATCTCTATCAGACTCTATCAGTCTACATAATTTGCATTCAAGTCTTATGACAGTCCGATGGAAAAAAAGCCTCCCCGGAAACAATCCTTTTCAGCCGACGTATAAAATACAATACCAATACAAAGGCACAATTCTTCCACGCCTCCCAAACCTAAACCCTAAACCCCTAAAGCCTACGTCCTAAACCCCGGAGGGAGGGTTATGCACGGCTTGAAGGGATATCTTCCTGGCAGGGCCGGGAGAGTCAGCTTGCCTTCCATGGTTCTTCTTCGTCTCCTGCAAACCATAGTAGAGGCCGTGCTGCGATGTTTTCGTAAAAGCAATGTTTTCGTGAATAAGAGATAATCTACCACAAGACTGTAATTCAATACATGAGCACATATGCAAGCTCACCGTTTCTGTGTCTGCTATGTATATGCCAATGTAGACACACTTTACATTAGGGTTTAGGATTTAGGCTTCAGTGGTTCCGGTTTAGGGTTTAAGAATTTAGGGTTTAGGGTCTTTAGGTACAATGTAGCAACTGCCTATCATCTGCCGGAGGCTATTGGCTTGTCCTCCGGCGCCCATCTCCTGGCCCTGGCGGAAGATGCGGATTCCAGGATCCAGCAACTTGGCTTCGTTCGAAGCAGGGCCTTCGGTCCTAGGCACCTATAAATACCCTAAACCCTAAACCCTATAAATACCTTCATCGAATCCTGAGAAATACCCCAGCACCACCGTCTGAACCATTATGAACCCAAAGCTTCATATATAGAGCCTTTACGGAATTTGGGAAGCCCCCATGTCCTCAACCCAAAACCCCCATACCCCAGAGAGACTCTCTAATACTCTTGAATTTGTAGTGAACCCGAAGCCACAAGCGTACACAGCGACTCCAGTGCCCTTGAAGTATGAAAGATGCTTCACACCACGTTCAGGATCCCTCCATGCTTGAAGGAATATGTCCGTTCACGAAACCCGTGGCAGTCTGCAACCATCTTGTGAGCCTTTGCCCGTATAAGACCCTTATAAACACCCTACAGCACCGTGTATTTCAAGAAAGCTCCCATACACGCCTTTTGAAGATGTATCCCGAAGGGGTCTTGGAGTCTTCTGGTGCTTGTACCGACAACCCGAAGCCCCCCCTAAACAACAATAACACCCTTGAGCACGAAAGCCAAACTCCGCAGAACCTGGTAACACCCCTAAACCCTCAACCCCAAAACTTAAGCCCTAAACCCTAGTTTCGAAGAAGCCCTAAGCCCTAAACCACCCCAAAACGTCCCCAAACCCTTCAGAGTGCCAGCACCCAAAACCCTAAGCCTAAACCGTCAACCCCTGAACCCCTAAACCCCTAAAACCTAAACCCCTAAACCTAAA